GAGACAATAGTTAAGTGAGTTTTGTCCCATTTTGAAATCTTTCTTGCCACTGTTGTTAAAGGGAAATTGTATTTGTTAAGTTAGTAACACGGTTGTTAAATGAATCTAGCTTCCCCGTCAAGTTCGTTTATCGGAAGGTTGCAAAAGTTGATTCCATGACTCCGGGACACCGCAACCGTCATAAATACATGCCAGTTGCCAAGCCTCTGAATTTTGGTCACATGGCCATGGGGATGCTGCAACGGTTGTGTGAAAATGGTATCAGTAACTTTCTTTTCAGTTCCGTTGTAACTTGGAATGGTCACTAAACGAATGGTTGTAAGTTGAGGACTTGCCAGTATTATCAACAACCCTACAGCATGGGGTGCGAAGATTTAAGGAAAGAGTGTGGGGAGATCCATATCAGGAGATGAAAATCGGTGGTAATTCTTGCCAAAGGGAATGTCGACTCCCTTCAGTTTAAGTGGAGCTCGAGTGTTGCAGTGAGATGGAAGAGAAGCAGAGGCCAAAAGTCCCTAATTGCATAAGTAGCAGGTGTTTTGCTCCAGCAGCATCTCCCATGTACAGCAATCGGTGTCACAACTTTGAAACACATTGTACATGGCAGCACATTGAAGCCAACGTTTCACAAAAGATGCAACGGAAAATGGAGGGAGGGGAAGAGTTTTCAGGCAAAAAGTTAGAACAGATTGGACTGTATATTGTAATGTTTTGTGATTGAAGCAATAATCTCATTATCAGGATATTACACCAACAGAAATCAAATCCCCCATCACCATCACCTGATCACCTCAAGAATTTTTTTCCAATTTGAGGGGGCTGGGGAACTTTTCAATGCTATTAGAAAACTGAGACAAATGGTTGTAAATCAAGGACTATGTGTAATTAACCCAAATCCATCTAGTGATTTTGGATGGCTGAGGATGGCCTTGAACCAGTGGTGAAATCCATTTTTTTTTTACTACTGGTTCTGTGGGCGTGGCTTGGTGGGCATGGCAGAGGAAGGATACCGCAAAATCTCCATTCCCACCCCACTCTGGGGCCAGCCAGAGGTGGTATTTGTCGGTTCTCCGAACTACTCAAAATTTTTGCTACCGGTTCTCCAGAACCTGTCAGAACCTGCTGGATTTCACCCCTGCCTTGAACCCTGGCATTCAAGGGCTGCCAAGGGTTCGATCACCATGCCACACTGGCTTGGTCGGCCAGCATACACAGCAGGTGGGCTTATTAATTGTATGGTCAGATATTAATATTGGAAGCACACTACTTAAAATTTGAAGGATATTTGCATCACACTGAAAGACACTCATGGGTGTACTCCACTCCTGATTTTAGATGGGCCCTGGAGAGAGAAAACACTCATGGAAATAATCTAAAATGAGATCAGCTACTGGCAGATCAGGAAGGTAGGCTGTGTGCTTTTATATTTAAAACATCTTGGCTCTCTTTTAAAAAATCTTGGTTCTCCTTGGCCTCCACTAGACTAGAGAGTTCTCAAGCTGAAGGACTGCAAAGAATCTGAGTTTGAAGTTGCAGCCAGTTAATAGGAATAATGGATGGAAACTGATCAAGGAGAGATTCAACCTAGAAATGAGAAGGAACTTTCTGACAGTGAGAACAATCATCCAATGGAAGAGCTTGCTTTCGGAAGTTGTGGGAACTTCATCCCTTGAGACTTTCAAGAAAAGATTGGGCTGCCATTTGTCAGAAATGGTATAGGATCTCCTGCTTGAGAGGGGTTGGACTAGATGACCTATAAGGTCCCTTCCAACTCTGTTAATCTGTTAAATAATGCTGGACTAGATGAACCAAAAGCCTGGCTTGGAAAGCAGGAGGACTTGGAAGCTAAGCAGGTTGGTTTCTTGATAGTTTGTAGTTTGACATTCAGATGACTGGCAGGTCTTGAAACCGATCTGAACCTTTCATATTGTCCAAGCGGCCTTCCAAGAGTCTCAAATTCCATTGGCAGTAACAGAATTACTTGCAGGATTCAACCCCAAACCTACATGTTTCACAGGTTCATGAACCTCACTTAGTCATAATGTGGTTTGCTTGGTTTGGATTTGCATATTTCCCAAAGGCACTAGGTTCCAAAGCAGGAGATGTTGAGTTCAAGTCCTGCTTTAGCGATAAAAATCATCTGGCTGACTTTGGGCTAGTCCAGGGGTGAAATCCAGCAGGTTCTGACAGGTTCTGGAGAACTGGTAGCGGAAATTTTGAGTAGTTTGGAGAACCGGCAAATACCACCTCTGGCTGGCCCCAGAGTAGGGTGGGAATGGAGATTTTGCAGTATCCTTTCCCTGCCACGCCCACCAAGCCACACCATGCCCACCAAGCTATGCCCCCAGAACTGGTAGTAAGAAAATTTGGATTTCACCACTGGGCTAGTCCTTCTCTCAGCACAACCCACCTCACAGGTGGTGGTTGTGGGGAAAATAGGAGGAAGGTGTGTCGGATATATTTGCTGCCTTGAGTCATTTGTAAAAAAATAATGGCAAGATACAAATAAGTAAGTAAATATCATAGTCAACTGGCCAAGAAATCTGGGCTGCCAAAATTCAGATTTATTTATTTATTTATTTTTAAATTTATATACCACCCTTCTCCCTGAGGACTCAGGGCGGTGTACAGCCAGAATTAAAAAACATGAAATACAAATATTAAAAACAATTAAAATATATATAAATTTGGCCCAAAATTAAAAATACAAACCAATTAAAACATTTAAAATTTCTTCTTAAGCCAGCCCGGCTTGCTGGAAAAAGTGGGTTTTAAGGGCACGGCGGAAGGCACTAAGGTCTTGGATTCTCCTTATCTCTGGGGGCAACTGATTCCAGAGGGTAGGTGCCCCCACAGAGAAGGCCCTCCCCCTGGGGGTCACCAGCCTACATTGATTGGCTGATGGCACCCTGAGGAGGCCCTCTCTGTGGGAGCGCACGGGACGATGGGAGGTCGTCGGTAGCAGCAGGCGGTCTTGAAGATAACTAGGCCCGATGCCATGGAGCGCTTTAAAGGTGATAACCAACACCTTGAAGCGCACCCAGAAGACCACTGGGAGCCAGTGCAGCTCGCGCAGGAGCGGTGTTACATGGGAGCGCCATGCTGCTCCCATCACTACCCGCGCTGCTGCATTCTGGACCAGTTGGAGCCTCCGGGTGCTCTTCAAGGGGAGCCCCATGTAGAGAGTGTTGCAGTAGTCAAGGCGAGAGGTGACGAGGGCATGAGTGACTGTACACAGGGAATCCCGATCAAGAAAGGGCCGCAACTGGCGAATCAGGCGAACCTGACAAAAGGTCCCCCTAGTTACAGCCGTCAGATGTTCCTCCAAGGACAGCTGCATATCCAGGAGGACTCCCAGATTGCGAGCCCTTTCTGTGGGGGCCAAAGACTCGCCCCCAATAGTCAGTGATGGAGTCAACTGACTATATCGGGATGCCGGGAACCACAGCCACTCAGTCTTGGAAGGGTTGAGCTTGACTGCTAGATGGCAGCAACACACTAAAGAGAGGGTGGGACAAGAATCAGAGAGTGGAAGCTTTAAAGAGAATGATCCAACTTTGTAAGTGTATAAGCTCTCCCTCCTTCAAGCTTTCCAGAAAGTCAGCCCTGTGACTAGGATGGTCTGAGATGCAGTCTTTGGCTCAAGTAATTCAATGAATTTCTACAATGGGGAAACTTGGAAACTTAATTCAATAGGCAATTACAAAATAAGGGCTTCAAGATCTTTATGATCTTGAAAAATAGGTTTTTAATTTAGTTGAAGTCCATAAATTGAATCAGTTTGGTGTAGACTTCTTCAAATTGGAAATGGAATATTCTTTATTGGCCAAGTGTGATTGGACACACAAGGAATTTAGGCATAAGTCAGTGCCATTATGTGTTTAGCAGAGTGATGGGTGGGTGGGAATTGTGTGTCTAGTTGTTTTGGCATGCAATGCCCTATAGTGGCGTCCTGAGGAGAAATTTGGCCATTTTAAGATAGGTGGACGTCAACTCCCAAACGGGAGGAATAATTGACTTTCCATATGTTAAAGTGGCCAAGTTTGAAAAACACTGGCCTAGAGATTAAGATGCTAGATTAGAAACTGGGAGACCAGGAATTCTAGGCATGCAGTCAGCCTGGTGAATTTCTTTCTCTCAGTCCAACCCGCCTCGCAGGGAGGTTGTTATGGGGATGGAAGCGGAGGTTAGTTAGAATAGAATAAGAGAGTTGGAAGGGACCTTGGAGGTCTTCTAGTCCAACCCCCTGCTTAGGCAGGAAACCCTACACCACAAATGGGTTATCCAACATGACAGTTGCACAAGATAAATGTGAGGTATAACTCCAGTAAAAAAAAATCACACTTTATTTGAACACCACCTCCAAGTAACTAAGGACTGGACTGATGGGGGGGGGTTTAAATGGATTTTAATTGATTTTAGGGATTTTATGTGTAACTTTTAACGCGGAGTTTTTGTTTTATTTTTCTGTTTTATTGTTGTGAGGCGCCCTGAGTCCCTTCGGAGAAAGGGCGGCATATAAGTCTCAATACATACATACATACATACATACATACATACATACATACATACATACATACATACACACACAAACAAACTAATCGGGCCTCCCCAGAGAGGTTTGAAGGGGGCACAAGCGAACCCTTTTCCGCTAACCTCCGGCATTTCTGCTCCCCTGGGATGCCTAGGGGCTCGACCCCTCCCCAAACAGCCCTACACGATTATACTGGAAGGCGATCAGGACAAGCCTCTTCTGCCTCGCTGCAAATTTAGGGGTGTGAGGAGATTCTCCAGTGCCGAACTCGACTTAAACCCGGACTCGTGACGCATCCACAGGCCGCGCAGCAGAGCCGGAGATCGGCGGCCGCGAGAGGGCTCCCTCGGTGGAAGAAGCGGCTCGCCCTCCGCCTCGCTTGCTTCGCCTTCCTCCTTCGCCGCCGAGGTTGGGCTTCCCAGGTTAGGCGCGGGTGCCGTTTCCTGCCACTCCTCCTCCGCTGCCAGCTCCGCAGCCCCAGATCGCTTGCAGCCGGTCAGGAGTCTCTAACGCTGAGTCGGGGCAGCGCCAGCCGTTGCCGAGCGACTGACTTGCAGAGCGACGGCGCGGCCGTCTGGACTCTCGAGCGGATGCCTCTAATCCTTCCGTCCCGGTCTCCGCCGTGAGTGCAAACCGACAGGCAAGAGCCGAGCTCCCTTTTCCATCCCGAGGAAAGGAGGGATTCCGGCGCCTGGTCCTTTTTTGCTCTGCACGCCTTCCTCGCCAGCGATGCAAGTAAGCCTCGTCTCTCTCCCCCTCGGTGCATTTGTGCGCTTAACCGGCTGCTCTCTCTCCGCTGGGTGCAAATAACGAGGATGAGCAAGGCTTAACGCCACCTGCTCCCGGGAGCCTTTCAATATGGCCCTTGGGGTGCCTCTTTTGCCCTATTAAGACTTGCTTTGGCTGGGGTTTCTCCTTCTCTGGAGCTCTTAAAGGGACAGATCAAGTGAGGTACTACTAACACCACTCTATAAAGCCCTACTAAGACCACACCTAGAGTACTGCATCCAGTTTTGGTCACCACGCTATAAAGAAAGATGTTGAGGCCAGTGGTGAAATCCATTTTATTTACTACCGGTTCTGTGGGCGTGACTTGGCTTGGTGGGCGTGGCAGGGGAAGGATACTGCAAAATCCCCATTCCCTCCCCACTCCTGGGGGAAGGATACTGCAAAATCCCCATTCCCACCCCAGTCCAGGGGAAGGATATTGCAAAATCTCCATTCTCACCCCACTCTGGGACCAGCCAGAGGTGGTATTTGCCGGTTCTCCAAACTGCTCAAAACCTGAACCTGTCAGAACCTGCTGAATTTCACCCCTGGTCTGTGAGGGAAAGTTGGAGCAGCGTTCCAACTTTTGAAAAAGCAGGATTTAACTTCAAGAAGTTGAAGAGCTGCAGATAATGCAACGGCCTTTTGTTTGCCCAGAAGAACCTTGAAATGGCAGCATCTAGAAAAAGTGCAGAGGAGAGCAACCAGGGATTGGAGGCTAAAACATACAATACGATGAATGGTTGCAGGAACTGGGCATGGCTAAGTCTAGTGAAGAGAAGGACCAGGGGAGACATGATAGCAGTCTTCCAATATTTGAGGGGCTGCCACAGAGAGGAAGGGCTCAAGCTATTTTCCAAAGCACCTGAAGGCCAGACAAGGAATAATGGATGAAAACTGACCAAGGAGAGATTCAGCCTAGAAATGAGGAGGATCTTTCTGACAGTGAGAACAATCAACCAATGGAACAGTAGTTGCCTTCGGAAGTTGTGGGAGCTTCATCACTGGAAGCTTTCAAGAAGAGACTGGGCTGCCATCTGTCAGAAATGGTGTAGGTAGGATCTCCTGCTTGGGCAGGGGGTTGGACTAGATGACCTATAAGGTCCCTTCCAACTCTGTTAATCTGTTAGAAGCTTCTCAGGGTCTCCTTCAATGCACATGTGTTGGGACAGAGACCCCTGAGAATTGTGGGGGTCAAGGCAGTTGGCGGAGTCCAGATCAGGAAGGCAGCTCTACGCAGAAGTGGCAGCCCTGCTAGAGGAAATGGCCAGTGGCATAGAAAGAGTCTGAAAAACCATTAAAAGAGAGTGTGGGTGTGTACTTGACGGAGGAAAATTTTGTCAATGTGCAGATTTTCTAATATGATCACAGCTAGTCCTCGACGTACGACCGCAATTGAGCCCCAAATTTCCATTGCTAAGCAAGGCAGCTGTTAAATGGGTTTTGTCACATTTTGCAACATTTTTGCCAGAGTTGTTAAGCAGATCATGTGGTTGTTAAGTGAATCTGGCCTCCCTCATTGACTTTGCGTGTTGGAAGCCAACCTAGAAAGGTTAGAAATGATGATCACATGAAACCCCTCCCCCCCGGACAATGCACCTGTTATAAACACATGCCAGTTGCTGAGAGCCTGAATAATTTTACCATGTACTAGGGCACGGGTGTCAAACATGCGGCGTCATGTTGCCGTCATGTGACACTTCTTTACTTTGCGGAGCTGGGATGGGCGTGGCCTGTGCGTGACACATCTGGCCCACGGGCAGCCAGTTTGACACCCCTGTAACTAGGGGAGTGCTGCAATGGTTGTAAGTGTAAGTGTAAAGTCACTTTTTCCAGTGCTATTGAAACTTCGAACAGTCACTAAACAAATGGTTGTTAAATCGAGGATTACCTGCATTGTTTTTGACCCAAATGCTTCTTTGGAACTTATATGGCTTTGTGATTTGTTGTTGTTGTCGTCTTTGAACAGGTTATGGAAATACAGGTGTGACCTGGAAGAAGAACTCTCCATTTCATGATGCCTCCAAAAAGGTCCAGAGGGAAACTTCCTCAGGTCTCCACTCATAAAAGACGCCTGAAGAGTCGGTGGAAGTTGGAAGAGCAGCAGAAGAGCCTGCTTTTGGGAGAAGAGAAAGGGAAAGCAGGGACCCCCAACAAAAGGGCCAGGAAGCGAAAGGGCACCACGGCCCCCCAGAGAAGCTACTCGGGGGAGAATCCTAACATCTGCACGGAGTGCGGGCAAACCTTTGCGCAGACTTTGGATTTGGTGAGCCACCAGAGACTCCATGCTGGAGAAAAGCCCCATAAATGCTCCGACTGTGGGAAAGCCTTCAGCCTCAGTTCCAACCTGAGCAGGCACCGGAGGATTCACACAAGGGAGCGCAAGCCCTATCTTTGCTCAGAGTGCGGGAAAAGGTTCACAGACAAGTCGTCTTTGGAGCAACATGCGCGAACCCACTCGGGGGAGACCCCCTTCCAGTGCATTGATTGTGGGAAAATGTTCGGCCAGAGTTCCCATGAGAAGAGGCCTCTGAAGAGCCCCCCGGGGAAACGGCAGAGCAGTTGCGCTACCCCAGAGACTGCCGTGGTCACCCCCAGCTCAGCTCAGCTCAGCCGTGCTCAAAGACCCAGAGTTTCTAAGAAGCAAGACTCGCCCTTTGAAATCCCCCACACCTGTGCTGAATGCTGGCAGAGTTTCAACCAGACCTCGGACCTGGTCAAACACATGCGCATCCACACAGGTGAAAAGCCCTTTGAGTGCAGCCACTGTGGGAAGTGCTTCAACGTCAGCTCCAACCTCATCCGGCACAAGAGGATCCACACGGGGGAGAAACCTTACACCTGCTCCGTCTGCGGGAAGAGCTTCACCGACAAATCCACCCTCACCCAGCATAACCGCATCCATACGGGAGAGAAGCCGTACACCTGTAGTTACTGCGGGAAAAGCTTCAGCCGGAGTTCTCACCACAAGAGGCACCAGCGGATCCATGCGGGAGAAAATCCGGTCTCTCTCCTGCCTCTGTGGCCTTATCCTAACCAAATGTACTGAGGGCCCTTTTATTGGATGAGGCAGAATTTCTACTGGACATTTGCAGCTGATGGTTCAACCTGGTTTTTACATGGGTGGTGTTTGGGATCCAGGGCAGGAATGGTGTTTCGGATCTGGTGTGGGGCACACTCACCCTACTTATCAGTTACTGTTTAAAGAAAAGCGTCAAACTGTGAGACTTGGAAAAGATGTAGTCGTTTCTTCTAAGATATTGTTGACTGGCATGCGAGTGGTGCGGTGGCCTAGAGGTGGAGCTTTCGCCTCACAATCGGGAGGCTGTGTGTTCGATCCTGCGTAGAGGCAGATATTTCTCTCTCTGGGCACGTTGGGAATATATCTGCTGAACACAGCTCCGCATTGGCGACAGGAAGAGCATCCGGCCAGTAAACACTCAGCTCCATTCATTTGCCCAGACTCCACCCAGCAAGGGATTATTAAAGATGATAATTGTTGATCGGCATGCCACAGCAGACCTAAAACACCTTTCCCATTTTAGATGGGAAGGCTATACAGGTAGTCCTCGTTTAGCATCTACCTTGCTTAGTATCCATTTGCAGTTATGACAGTGATGAAAAAAATAACCAGTCATGACCAATCCTTGCATTTAAAACCTTTGCAAGTCAGTAAAGCAAAGGAAAACTGAAGTAAGATCACAAGCACAGTGGTATTTCACAACTGCATTGCTTAACAACTAGGTTGCCAGTCCCAATTGTGGTTTCTAAATTAAGAGCCGTGATGGCGCAGTGGTTAGAATGCAGCATTGTAGGCTAATCCTGCCGACTGCCAGGAGTTCGATCCCAACCGGCTCAAGGTTGACTCAGCCTTCCATCCTTCCGAGGTGGGTAAAATGAAGACCCAGATTGTTGGGAGCAATATGCTGACTCTGTAAACCGCTTAGATAGTAAAGCACTATGAAGCGGTATATAAGTTTAGGTGATATTGTTATTGCTAAACAAGGATTACCTGTACATTCTGTTATTTACTTCACATGCATCTAAATGGCCTAAGACAAACACATTCCATGACAGACGAGAGAAAAAGGTTTGAATTTTCATCTGCCAAAATCAAGAGTCTTTCCATGAATGGGATTGCAGCTCTTTCACCAAAACTCTGTTTTGCTTCTCTTTTGCAGGGATTCCTGCTCTATCTGGATTTTTCCTTCCAGAAGTTCTCTTGTTTTGTCAAAGGCACCTCAAATATACAGACAGATTTTTTAACTGTTAATAGAATATTATTGTAATTTAATAAACAGGTTTAATGCATGATGTTTATAGATCTAATTGGCGCTGTTGCACTGAGTATGTGATGGAGCCAGTTTGGTGTAGTAACTAAAGCACCATGCTAGAAACCAGGAGATTGTGAATTCTAGTCCTGCCTGAGGCCAGATGAGTATCTTTGGGCCAGTCCCTCTCTCTCAGACCTCAGAGGAGGTAAGGGCAAAATGCTTCTGAAAAAACCTTGCCAAGAAATCTGCAGGGATTTGTCCAGTCAATCGCCAGGAGTCAACAACTGCACACTTACATACATGCACATCAGGGGTGAAATCCAGCAGATTCTAACAGGTTCTGGAGAACCGGTAGCGGAAATTTTGAATAGTTCAGAAAACCAGGAAATGCCACCTCTGGCTGGCCCCCGAGTTGGGTGGGAATGGAGATTTTGCAATATCCTTCCCCCAGGAGGGGAGGGAATGGAGATTTTGCAATATCCTTCCCCTGCCACACCCACCAAGCCACACCCACAGAACCGGTAGAAAACAAAATTTGGATTTCACCCCTGATGCACATACACAGAGGACCTGAGTATATGAACAGTGTCTTCTCCTGGTGAATGTATTAACAGTGGGATCCTTGCTTGTCTTTCTCCCAAGCTTCTATATGATTTGTTATCTGCTCTTAGAAGATTTCCTGCAAATTGGTTGACTGAATGGTTTTTAGTCTGCCCAACCACAAGAAGTGTGAAGGAAAAAAAAAAAAGGACAAAGCACTATTCTTTCTGGCAACCAAAGGAAAAGTTATCCTATAGCCGTGATGGCGAACTTACGGCATGCATGCCCGAGGTGCCACGCAGAGCCATTGCCCAACTCACCTGCAGCTGTGCATGCACAAGCTCCCCAGCTAGTGTTCGAGCCTCTGGTGCACGTGTGCAATTCAGGGGACCCAGCTGGTCTTCAGAGCTCTCCTGCGCATGCATGTACATTTGTGCATGCATGCAAAAGTACTTGCATACAGCGTGCGCATGCGTAGACGGCATTCGTGCATGTGCATTGCGTGTGTGAAAGCCGTGCGCATCCGCAGATGGTCCTATAGGCATGGAGCACCATGGCAGGATGGGAGGGGTCAATAACACTTGAGCAGCTGGAATAATTCCAGAGACTGCAATTGTCCCAAAATGGAAGTCTCTGATTTCCTGAAACCACAGAAATACAGCATAAGTAGACTTTGTGCATTTACAAGCCCCAAGTCAGGGGTGAAATGCTTCTGGTTCGGACCGGATCACCCGATCCGGTAGCGATGGCGGCGGGTGGTTCGGAGAACCGGTAGCAAAAATCCCTGTGCCTCCCCCACCATGCCCAGCTGAGCCGCATGATCATCAGAGGCTTTTTTTTTTAACTTTTAAAAACTTGGCATACTGTGAACTTCCAACAGGCTGATCGGGGAATTCAGGGAATTCAGACCCACATGTCTTAAAGTTGCCAATGTTGAGAAACACTCTTGCTAGCTCTATCTTTCTTACTATCATAAAAACTTGTACAAATAGTCCTTGACTTACGACTGTTTGTTTAACGATCTATGTTATGACAGCATTGAAAAAAAGTAGCGAATGACATGTCCTCGTACTTGCGACCATCATAGCATCCATGTGGTCATGTGTTTGTTATTTGAGTGCTTGGCAACCAGCATGCATGTATGATAATTGCAGATGCCTTTTGACAAGCAAAGTGATGAGGGGGAAGCGAGAGAGGCACATTTGCTTAAGGATCATGGTGATTCACTTAATGGCCACAGCATAATGTTGCCAGGTATCCACTATTTGAGCAGACAGTCTGCTTTTTTCACATTATGTTCACTATTTTTTTTCACAAAATAGTGCACATTTTCTTTATTCAAAAGCTTTATGATGAAACTAAAATGTAATTTAATATTTTACATATTATTATAATATATTTGATGTTTTGAATTTTAAGTAAAGTTTTGAAGTGATTATTTTAATACGTGTTAAAATGTTTGTAAGAAAATATATAATTTAATTGTATTTTTTTTTTACTACTTAAACACCCCCCCCACCCCCCGCTTGCCCGCTATTTTTTGGAAGCAGACCTGGCAACCCTACCACAGCAAAAGAATTGTAAAATCAGGTGCAACTCAGTTAACAGCTGTATCACTTACTGGTGGAAGTTCCAGTCCCAATTATTGTTGTAAGCTGAGGTCTACCTATCATGCTGAATAAATCAAGTGTCTGGGAGGAACTTTTGTGACTAACAAATTTTAGCAAGTGGCATTAGCTTTTGTGAATTTACAGCTTTTATAATAACATTTGGTTAACAAATTTTATTAAAAGCTGTAAGTTCACAAAAGTTAATGCCACTTGCTAAAATTTGTTAACCAAATTTTATTAGTACAGGTAGTCTTTGACTTAACAACAATTGAGCCCCAAATTTATGCTGCTAAGTGAAACATTTGTTAAGCGAATGTTGCCCCATTTTACGATTTTTCTTGCCACACTTGTTAAGTGAATTACTGCAGTTAAGTTAGTAAGATGGTTATTAAGTGAACCTGGCTTCCCCATTGGCTTGGCTTGTCAGAAGGTCGCAAAAGTTGATCTGCAACCATCCTAAATATGAATCAGTTGCCAAGCATCTGAATTTTGATTGCATGATCTTGGGGATGCTGCAATGGTCATAAGTGTGAAAAATGGTCATAAGTCACTTTTTTCAGTACTATTGTCACTTCAAAGGGTCACTAAATGTTGTAAGTCGAGGACTACCTGTAGTTAGTAATTAACTAATTTTATTAGTAATAAAATTTGTAATTAATTACAATATTAATTTATTAATTTATGTAATTTATTTGTAATTAACTAATTTTATTAGAAATAAAATTTGGCTAAATTGTATTTATTAGTACCAAAAGGTGCTCCCATACTCCTGATGTTTTGCTCCCATAAACCAACATGGCTATCCTCCTTCAATACTAACGAGGAATTGCATCACACCTTTCCTTCATCGGAAAGGTTGCCTCTGTCCTGAATAGATCTGGAATGGAAGAGAGAAACAAGATCATTCAAGGAGAACAGAATGACCATCTTGCTTGAACTTTGGGAGAATCTATGTGGACTATGGGTCTCACCTTTTCTATCTTCTCCCAAGTCTTACAAGATGCACCATTTCTGATGTTTCTGGATGCCTCTGGTGATGAAGCATCAGGGGCTGGAATCAATCCAGCTTCTACTGATCACTTTACACACTCCCTTCTTATCCAGTGTTATTTTGCTTTCTACTGCTGGCCTGATATTTAATTACGGGTTGTCCTCAACTTACCAATACAACTGAGCCCAGAATTTCTGTTGCTAAGTGAAACAGTTGTTAAGTGAGTTTTGTCCCATTTTACGATGTGTAGACCCTTCAAATGTCCTCAAGGCTCAAACCCAGACACATGCAGGTAAAAAAAGTAGAATATTAGCTCCGTTCACTCCAGGTGACTTGAGGGAGGCATAGCTAGAGTAGTGGAGAACTCAAATTAACCACTGCATTTTATGAGTTCTTCACTCCTGCCTTAGATCAAGAAGGCCACCATAATTTACATTTTATGGAGCAAACTCTAGCTAAAGTTGTCCTGAGTGCCAAATTATTTGCTATTGAGCTGAGACAAATTTCATAACCGAATAAACAAATGATATGGGAGTAGACTAAGCTCAAGAGAACAATTCATCTCAAGAGAACAATAATTTCTCTTAAGAACACCTACACAAAAACACTAAGATCCAAAGATGCCTCTTCAGAATCTGGAGGCAATTTGCAGCAAGCTCAAAATTCTTTCATCTTGCCTCCTGCTTCCTCTTCCTCCTCTTCCTCCTCCTGCCCCCTCCCCCAACACTTCTTCTGGATGTAAGGATTGAACAACAGAGAGTTTCCCATTCTTAGGCTTGGTCTGGACCTGCTGATGACCTAGGAAGTTCATCTCCTAATATCCTGGTCAAAGGACAGAGAGAGAGAGAGAGAGAGAAATATACGGTAAATCGCCTTTTTTTCTTTCCAGCAGTAATAATAGCCAGAGCCCCCTGGTGGTCACAGCTCCCCCTTTGTCCAGGTTCACACATCCTTCCTAACCCTTGTAAACACTCTCCCCTAATTTGAATGGGGATGCCTTACTTAATGCCGGTCCCTGCTTGAGTTTTCAGTTGCTGCTGCCACAGAAGGAGAAAAATGTCTCTCTGACAATGTCAGAATTTGTGGCAGAAAAGCATCTAGGTCTAGGCCAGGGGTCAGCAACCTGCAGCTCTGGAGCCGCATGTGGCTCTTTCACCCCTCTGCTGCGGCTCCCTGTCACTCAAAATATGGGTCACAACCGCCAGTGTGCGACACCCGCCAGCACGAGATTTATTGAGCTTTTCAACCCCTGGTAGGCCAACCATGGATAAATCCAAAAGAAAAGTTTCAGAAGAAAACAGAACATTTAATTCAACTACATATGATGGTTTTGTGGCCACTCAAGAAATAGTCAGGCACGGGAAGGGTTTTGTGGCTCCCGGTGTTTTCTTTTCTGTGGGAAACGGAATGGCTCTTTGAGTGTTTAAAGTTGCAGACCCCTGGTCTAGACAGACTTATTTAATTCAAAATAAGCCCCCCACTCCTCCCATTCCAATTCTTGCATGTTGTGGACAAACAGAGCCAGTTTAGCGGTTAAGGCACTAAGCTACAAACCAGGAGACCATGAGTTCAGGCCTGCTGGGCGATTTGGGGCCAATCACCCCCTTTCAGCTCAACCCACCTCACAGGGTTGTTGTTGTGTGGACAATAAGAGGAAGAAGGTGCGTGGGATATGTTCCATGTGTCAAGTTATGTGTAAAAATAATAAAGGCGGGAAACAAACAAAGAAACAAATAGTGTAATTTACACTTGGCCTTCTGAAAATGGTTTAACAGATTAACAGTTGGAAGGGACCTTGGAGGTCTTCTAGCCCAACCCCCTGCTCAAGACAGGAGACCCTATATCATTTCAGACAATGATTGTCCAAATGTCCAATCTCTTCTTAAAAATCTCCAGT